TTTCTTGTTCACCTCTGGGTTCCCGCTCAGGCGTTACTGGGGGCAGCATGAGCGTCACACCCCAGAAGTGCTCTTGGATGGCACCGGAGGGTGACAGCACCCCCACCCGCCCTCTCGCCCAAACCACCTCCTTCCTCCCTCTACTTGTCCTGCCGTCCCACCCTTCTTAGGTCTTCCTCCTCCTCCCCTAAACTGCTCCTTTCTGAAGCTGTGCAACTCCGCCGTCTCTTTTACACCTGTTTCTAAAGCCCGCCCTGCCCTGCCCCGTGGGTACCCTCCTGGGCTCCCAGCCTTCCTTCTGGGAATCGCACTGTGGTGCGGCTTCATAGGTGCGTCTCCGCCCCCTTCTGGGAGACTGTGTAACAGCCCCCGACCCCGTGGGACTAAGGAGGGGCTGGGTGGAGGAGAGGTGCGTGACCTGCCTCTCCCTCTGTCCCTGGCTCTGTGCCCACGGCTTCACCAGCCATCTGTCTTCCTTAACTGGCCACAGCAGCAAAGCCAATGATATGTTTTGTGCTCTTTATCAAATATACTTAAGGGAATTTTATAATCATTGACCTGAAATTTAAAACCAATTCGGGTGGCTCTTTTATATTTTTCTCTTAAAACTACCAATGCACTTCATCTTTGGGTGGCGTGAGACTGGTCCCCCCACCCCGCTCAGTGAGCCACAGGGACCTTGACAAGCAGAGCCCTTCATTTCTGCAGCCCTGAATTCCCTCGGCTTTTCCATTCCATCAGATTGTTATTTAATTAATAAAAGGCGTAACTAAGGTGCACGGAGATGCACTTTAAAGTTGTTCACTCCCAAAATAGGCCATGTGCTCGTCTTCATCCAGCTCATTGGAGCATGTTTGTTCCAGACACTAACAAGCTTTCTGACTCCATCGGGGGGGAACAAAAAGGTGTTTAACAGTGGAGTTACCTTTGTGAACTTGCCCCTTTCATGACCAAACAGCTATGGAGACCACGTGGTGTAAGGACATCTGGCAGCCGTTCAGGGCGGTCCACACGGGCTTCACGACTTCCGCTTGGTTTAACTTATTCTAACAATAAATAACAAAAGCCACTCTGCTTTTCAGAAGCATGGCCATTTCCAAATCAGCAGCAGCAACTGGACTCACCCGGCGTGGTTCTCAGCACAGCCTGTGTGTGTGCGCTGGGGAGGCCACAGACAGGAGCCCCACCTCCCCAGGCTGCAGGGCAGGAGGGAGAGTGCGGGGTGTGAGGTGGGAGGAGGCTGGTGGCCCAGGCTCTGGGCTAGAGGATTCGCATCAATTCTTGGAGACCGCCACTTTGACAGTTTTCCACCTAAGGCAGAAAATACCAGACTTGGGATGAGCGTACGTGTGACCCCACGTCACCTGGAACCTATGGTCCTAGAGAGTCAGGTGAGCTCGTTTGAAATCCCCACTTCCAGGGATTAAGAAACCGTGAGTCTCCATCCCCAAGGTTCCTACAAAGTGAGCCGATGCTCACGTGTTCCTGGTCTGGCCCCTCGGACCACATATGTGGTCTCCGCTCCTTTTCTGTATCGCCCAGGGAGCAAAGCTCACTTCCTCGCTGGGTTCCACGAGAAATCCACGCACACCGAGCCCTGTGTGCATTTTTTATAAATCTACTGAGTATGTAGGGAGCCGGGGGAATCACATGACGCACTGACTCACTTCCGACCGTTTGCTGGTTCCGCTACATCCCGACCTCGCTCTCCCGTCTCCTGGGCTCCCCCGGGGACAACCCATGGGTGTCTGTCCTTGGACTTGCAGAGCAGCGCCCGCCCACCCCTAAGCCGGCTGATCAGGAGTTTTCACAACAAGGGCAGTCTTCTGGGTATTATCCTAGAGAGAAATTTTCATAAGAGCTACTTAGTGGAGGGGAAAAAGACTTCACTTTATCCATCTGTCTGAGTGACCCTCTCCCACATTGCCTAATAATGAATAGCTCACATTTACTGAGTATTCATTCATTATAGATTCCTGTGCTGAGCAGACACATTAGAACTCACAGCCACTAATAATTCAGAGAAGCTAAAAGACTTGGCCGACTCACTCAGCTAGAGCGTGACAGGGCTGGGACTTGACCCCGGGGCACTTCAGGTAGAGCCCTTTCACTGCGCGGCATGCATAGCCAAAGTGGCGGCACCCACCGAGGCACAGCGGGGCCTGGACAGCGGGACGGCCTGCAGCTAAACCAGGGAGGACTTTTCCCGTCGATGAGAATCTTCTCCGAGCCCCACAGGCTCGCTGGGAACACTTGGCTCCCCTTCTCCTGTTCCCCGTGGCTGCTGTGACACCCTAGGCCGTGGGGAAGACTCTGATGATCCTCGGCACCTCACACACCACAGCTGCCCCCACGTCACCCAACCGAATGTCACCTGACTGTTCCCAATGTGAGCTCACGAATTAGGGAACTCGAGTGGAAGGGCTGCTCTGACTTAGGATTGGACGGACCCTGCGAACTTCCCCAGCCCTCTGGGCATTATGGGAGAGTGAGCTGGAAAATCAGATGCAGAGAAGTATCCCAAATAGGGGAGTCTTGTTTGGGGTACAGCAGAACCTGTAACCTGTTAGCTTGAGAAATTGGTCTGGAAATCATATTATAAGAGACTACTCACCCTGCATTCTCTCCAGACTGAAAATATGGGGAGTGATGGGCTTTCCTCCATGTCTTGGACCCCTGTCTCTGAGGTCAGGATCACAGCCAATCTCTGGCCAAGCTGATTCAGTGCTGGTGAAAAAGGCAATTATTTTTTTTACTGGGCTGTTCTGATGAATCCCAATTTCTCTAGCCAGCCACAGACGTATCAGGACCAGTCCCTCATTACCGGGAAGTGTGCAAGGCAGAAGAGCCAATAGCAAAGAGAAATGAAGTTCAAGTTGTGGACTTGTCATTACCACACTCAGCAGATGACAGTCCAGCCACAGAGGCCCCTGTGACCAGCCACACGCATACACACACACATGCACACACATTAATGTGCTCATATAACCCCCTGTGGAGGTGCCAGGAAAGCAAGCACCATTGCATTACAAAACCTAACCTTGCCATCTTTCCTATTTGAGATGAGTGATAATAAGAATCCTTCCACTTTAGATGTTAGATATTATCGTAATTGTTGTTATTTTTGTTGAGCTCTGAGAGGTTTGATAATACCATGAATCACTGGGACCCAGCAGCACTGTGCCAAGGGCTTTGTTCACACGCATCATTCCCTTTGTCCCCAGAACAAGCCAACAGTGCTGGGGCTAGCCAACTTTCTCTGTGAAGGACAAGACAGGAAATATTTTAGGTTTTGCAGGTTATGTGGTGTCTTTGCAACTACTCAGCCTGTGGCTGTAGCTTGGAAGCAAGCACAGACAATACATAAAGAGAAAGTACAGCGGTGTGTCGATACAACTCTACTTACAAGGTCAGGTGCTGTCCGGGTGTGGCCTGTGGGCCGTGGTGGGAGCAACATTATCCCCAAACCAGAACTTGAGTTCCATAGCGAGGAAGATGGGGGACATTGCTCTTCTCTCCCCTGGCTTTTCCATCCTGGTTCTAGTTCTAGAGAAGGGATAGACTACAAGACGCTTTTGCACGTGACTGCCCAGGGTGAGTTGGCTGTTCTCTCTCAACAAACAGGACCCTGATCACTTTAATGAAAATCCTGCATCCATGGCGGCTGTGAGGAGACCACTGAATCTCCGTGGCTCGCCTCTGACAACCTAACTCCTTGTCTGCAAGCCCAGGGTCGGCTGTAGCAGACCTCACCAAGGAAGGAATTGATCCCAAGCTGACCTTGGAAGCTTCAGCTCTGCCCTCTGAAGGGTCTTCTTACCACGTAGCCTTTTTTCCGTGCTAGGGGGTCCCCAATAAGCTTGCAGCCCCAGTCTTAGGTCTCTTCTGTGCCTCAGTGCTGAGGCCTGCAGACCTGGACAGGGTCCATCTTCATGACCCTTGGGGGCCAGGAATTCGAGGAAGCACTTTTGCCCTTCTTTGAGCCACAACCCCACCAACTGCCTCTGTTTCTGCCCCAACTCCAGTCATTCCGGTGGCTCAGCAAACACAGGAGAGTAAAGCATCTGTCCCTCTTTCCAGACCAGACTATGAACCTAAGGAACAATCCGTGATATCAGGCCATGGTTTCTCGGTGCCTCCTGCACTAATGACATTTGGGGCCAGGCTGGGCGCCAGGGCGAGTGTGCTTGTGGTGGGGAGTGTTTAGCGGCATCCCGGCTTCTGCTCACCAGAAACTCACAGCAGCCCCCAGGTGTGACAATCGAAGATGTCTCCAAACATTGCCCGATGTCCCCTGGGTGACAAAGGAACCTCTGGCTGAGGGGCAGTCACTGCCTTCACTCGCAGCTGCAGGATCCAGTTCTCAGTTCCAGAAAAATAGGAAACATCACAGGCCAGCCCTCAATACTGTGTCACATTGCCTTTTGGTGCAAGGCCATCACAGTTATCCCCATTGTACGCGTGAGGAACAGGAGGCCTGGGCCACACAGCGAGTGAGGAGCTGGATGCCAAAGCATCTATGTGTGTGTGTCTGCAACTGCTCGGGGTCTGAGCCCGGAAGGGACACTGTGAGGGGTTTCCCGGGATGCACAAGAGTTTGCCACAATCCATGGTAGTGAGCAAAACAAAACAAAACAAAACTAGAGATTTTACCGGCGCTTCCCTGGGAGCGTTCTACCTAGTCCTGTCAGCAGCAGCACTTCAAGTTAAATATTCCCCCCCCTGCCCATTTTACAGACGAGGAAAGTGAGGCCCAGCAAGGCTAACAGGTGGCATGGAATCAGCGTAGCCAAGTGTCTCTGAGATCCGAGTTCTGACTTTTCAACAACTCCTCCAAAGTGGGGGGCTGCTCCCCAGCAGGGAAGCAGAGTCTAATTCCCTACATGATGCTCCAGATCTCTAGCCAGCGTGCTCTGCAGACAGTAACAAAGGCTCACTGGTAAGTGAGACTGACGCCTCCCCACCCCTGACCTTGGCTCTCCCTGCGCCCTCCTTCCCAGCTCTGCATGCAGTACTGGCCTGAGAAGACCTCCGGGTGCTACGGGCCCATCCAGGTGGAGTTCGTCTCCGCAGACATCGACGAGGACATCATCCACAGGATATTCCGCATCTGCAACATGGCTCGGGTGAGTGGAGGGCGGCCAGGGCTCCCCAGGCGCCCCCCTTCCCCACCAGACAGATGGAGGCTGCTGGGAGGGGAGCCTCCGCCCAGCCGGGAGCCTGTGCTGAGCTCTGCGGATCTTCTCGTCCTCGGGGAAGTCATGCCGCTGCCGATTCCGGCTCCAGATCCAGCCACGGCTCCAACACGCAGAGACACACAGGGTGACATCCCGCCCGCCATCTGCCTGTTTCCTGACACGCTTGCTGCTATGTAGACAAAACTTCTCAGAAATTACCGCTTTCCCACTGTGTCCCGCTGTTTTGGCATGAGATGCTGCTGCCTTTGATTGGCTCCAGCAAGCTCTGGGCTAGACCCTGGGAACCACACCGAAGTGAAAAACAGTTGCTTCCAAGAGGAAATTCACTGGCTGGGTGGAAAGTATTAGGGGGTTGGGGGGGAGCAGATTAGCAAACTCCAAAATGGCAGCTGACTAAAGTGACTTTGGCCCTTATCGTGGCCCAGGGTGAATAGAACACAGCCCTTGCCCTCAGAATTCGCTGTCTAATGGGGAAGTGAGACATATTCTGGCATGAACTTCAGGGGGAGAGAGATAAATTCTGCCTGGCAGAGCCAGGGAAGGCTTTTCCTGAAGAGTGGGACATTTGAATTGGGTTTTGAAGACTGAGTACGAGTTTCCCAGGTTGAGAGGCAGGGGTGCAGGGCAGTCACGGCAGGAGAATTGATGTGCACAGAGGTGGAGAGGTGGATAACGAGCGTGTCTGTGACTCTCCTGTGACAAGAGGGCTCACACCTCATTTAGTCTGTCTTCCTCTGCAATGCCGCAACCCCCGGGGCATCTGGAGGGCTCGCACGCCCAGGCGCCCAGCAAAGCAGCCCTAACGGCCTCTCTGTTCCCAGCCGCAGGACGGGTACCGTATAGTCCAGCACCTCCAGTACATTGGCTGGCCCGCCTACCGGGACACGCCCCCCTCCAAGCGCTCTCTGCTCAAAGTGGTGCGGCGGCTGGAGAAGTGGCAGGAGCAGTACGACGGGCGGGAGGGGCGCACGGTGGTCCACTGCCTGTGAGTACCTCACCGTTGGGGGGTGTCCGGGGACACAGGGCAGGGAGTCCTGGGCCCGCCTGGCTGTATGCATCTCAGCATCTCTTAAAGGCTAACAGGGGTGTAGTCAGGAATCACACCCTGTGGTCTGGGGATGCCAGTGTGTTGCTCTGAACTAATGTTATACGACGCATTTATGGAGGCAAAGCTGGGTGGCCTTTCCATGAACAGGTGGGCAGACCACAGCCCAATGCTCCCAAGGGGGAGAGAAGTCCCACCCTCCATAAGGAGGTGCCATGTGCCCCACCAGTCAGCTCAGGAGGGAGTGGGTCCCTCCAACCAGATCCACCTCTATTATTTCCCGAAGAAGAAAAAGAAGGAAGGGGGTGGGTTAATGATGGAGCTTCATGTCAAGCAGTTGAAATGAATCGCCTCAGTCCACCTGTGAGGTGGGTTTTGTTGTGTTAAAGCGGAGGCACAGACAGGGTGAGGCATCGGGCAGTTGAGAGAGGAGCTTCGATTCCCACCCACCGGCTCCCAAGCTGGTATGTCGCCCATTAGCCCACGCTGCCCCTGAGTCACCCGAGGGCCCCTCCTCAAGGGTAGGACACTTCTTCCCAGGGCCCAGTGGGCTCCTGTCGGCCGCATTGTACTTCCGTTACGGGTGAAGTGGAACTTTCATCTCTGGTCTGAGAACAGCCATATCTGGGCACGGAGATTCCTAAACAGACCCCGATGTCATTATACAGGGTGGTGGTCAGGACCCTTGGCAAACTGTGGCTGACAAGCTATCGTCAAGGAAATCACGTGTTTTGTGAGCCTCAGTTTCCTCAGCTGTCCAATGGGCATGTTGAGTTAGGTCCTCTTAAGACCCCATGGTACTTCCAAATATTTAGAAAATAGAGGGGGACTTCCGCCAAGATGGAGGCATAGGTGGAGATGCGGTGCCTTCTCACACAACCAAGTTTAGAGACAACTAAATATTAGCAACAGAAAACACAGCCAGAACACAGAAAATTGAACTTTTCGGAAGTCTGTTAACAAATTCTTCAGCCTGACTGGTAAGAGGGGCGAAACCAGCAGCTGGTGAAGCAGGGTTGCACAGGAGGGCTCGGTCAGACGGACTCAGGCTCACGGAATGCAGGCGCAGGGTTGGACCTAGTGAGCGAACAAGCAAGCGACCCAGCGAGCGACCGCAGAGGAGACAGCGAGGGAGCAGGGCTGTGTGTTGACTGTGGTCACCCATTGGTGCGCGGATAGACAAGTGAGGGAGTGGGTGATTGGACCGGGACCCAGCGGGTCCCCACAGCAAGCGGCAGGGAGGGCGCCGCCATTTCCCTGCTCTGACCCCACCTCCACATACAGCGTCATAACCCAGCAACTCTGAGTGGCCCGGCCCAGGTGAACCACGTAAGGCACTGCTCCTCACCCAGCTGTGAGAAACAGCAGAGGGGGTCGCCATTTCCCCGCTCTGACCACGCCCCCACATTCAGCGTCACAACCCAGCGACCTGGGAGTCCAAGGCGCCGCTTCTCACACTTAAAGGGCCAGAACAGACCAAAAATGGCTCAAGAAGATCTCAAAGCCCCAGAGCCTATAAATCTAAGCAATGAAGAAATAGCAAAACTCTTAGACGCACTGTTTAAAACACTGGTCATCAGGATGCTCACAGAACTGGTTGATTATAGCCACAAATTAGACAAATATATGAAGGCGAAACTAATTGAAGTGAATGGAATTGCACAGGACACCAATAGCAATGAAAAGGAAACTGGGTCTCAAATCAATGGAGTGGACCAGAAGAAAGCAAATAATGGCCAAACAGAAAAGAGTCAAGAAGCAAGAATTCAAAGAAATGAGGAGAGTCTTAGGAACCTCCAGGGCATCTTTAAACGCTCCAACATCCGAATTATAGGGGTACCAGAAGGGGGAAAGGCACAGCTACCAGTGGAAAACTTATTTGAATAAATAATAAAGGAGAATTTCCCCAATCTGGCAAAGGCAATAGACTTCCAGGAAATCCAGGAAGCTCAGAGAGTACCAAAGAAGTTGGACCCAAGAAGGAACACACCAAGGCACATCATCATTACATTAGTCAAGATTAAAATGAAGGAGAGAATCCTAGAAGCAGCAAGAGCTAAGGGGACAGTCACCTACAAAGGAGTTCCCATCAGACTGTCAGCGGATTTCTCAAAAAAGACCTTACAGGCAAGAAGGGGCTGGAAAGAGGTATTCCAAGTCATGAAATCCAAAGACCTACAACCAAGATTGCTCTATCCAGCAAAACTTTCATTTAGAATGGAAGGACAGATAAAGTGCTTCTCAGATAAGATCAAATTCAAGGAGTTCATCATCACCAAGCCCTTATTATATGAAATGTTAAAGGGACTTATCTAAGAAAAAGAAGTTAAACATGAACAGTAAAAGGACAACAAACTCACAGTTATTAACAACCACACCTAAAACAAAAACAAAGAGGACAGCTAGATCAGGAGTGGAAACATAGAAATGAAGATCTCAAGGAGGGTTAGCAACAGGGGAGTGGGAGGAGGAGAAGGGGGGAGAAGGTACAGAAAATAAGTAGCATAGACAGTAGATAGAAAATAGATGGGGGGGCAAGAATAGCATGGGAAATATAGAATCTAAAGAACTTGAGACACATGGACATAAACTAAAGGGGGGGTAATGGTGGGGACGGGGGGTAGGGTAGAGGGGAATGAAGGGGGGAATAGAACAACTGTAACAGCATAATCAATTTAAAAAATTTAAAATAATTAAAAAAAAAGAAAATAAACACAACTTATCTACCAGCCTACAGATCTGTGATATCATGGCAGTGAATATGCAAATGTTCCCAATGTCATCGCCCCAGAGAGCCTGTGTCAGAGCCCAGCAGAGGAATATAAAGAGAGCTCAGACCTGAACACATCGGAGCCACACAGCTGTGTGTGGGACACTTGAATGACCGCCGTCCACTCTGCTTCCTGGGCATTACAGTTTTTTCGGGAGACATGACTGAGAGGACCTCCCTCTTTACAATGTTGTGTGAACGGAAGTTTGGACCAGTGTCTTTCCTTTTTCAGAATAAGTACCTGGGGAGCTAATGGAGGTGTTAACAGCACCTACTGAGGGTTCTAAAGACCCTCAGAACTGAGTCATTTTTCCAAACCAGCTTACTGTTCTCCTCTTTCAAAAAGGTGGTGCGCGCACATCAGAAAAATCAGAAAGCTGAAGGGGAGTTAAACACACACGTGCGCGCACACACACACACACACAGCACAAGAACCAACACCTGTAGCCATCTGCCTTCCCAGAGGATACAGGCCGCAGACTGGAATCCGGGAAGATGTCACATGTCACGTTGGTGGGTGACATCAGCCAAGCTGAGCAGACCCTGCCTGCATCCCAGAAACTGGCAGCTGCTGCCTGCCCGCTGACCCTGCCCCCTTCAGCTCCCCCCACACACACACACACACTCAGGCAGCCGCCCCTTCAGCACAGAGCCATGCCCACCAATATCTCACTCCACTGGACTCAAGATGCCTGTGTCCACCCCCCTCTTCCTTTTGGACTCTTCTCTTCTTGCTCCACGAAAGACCAAGCCCCCCTTCCCAGGGGTCCTTTCCTACTCTTTGCCATTTTGGTTGGTTTCTGGCTGCTCTTCGGCAGCCTACCGTTTTATCCATGGCTCCCACAGCCAAAGTGACCAGCAGCTTGAACCAAAGCAAGCACAGGGGCGTCCTTCTATCAACAGGGACCTCGGCCTCCCTGGGGGCCAGAGACACCAAAACAGACACTGACATGCAGGCACTGGCCAGTGAATGGAGGGCAGCCATCTGTACCGGAGCCATCTGGTGGTCGGATGTCCTGTAGAGGAAACATCTGGGAGACCGACTGAGTGCCTCCGTTCCCGTCCAGATGTTCCTTAGACACACACCATTACGTGAAATCATTAGTTTCTCTTGGCAGTGTGCCCAGGAACTCCGAATCCGGCAGACTCCAAAGGGGACTTTCTGTAAAGACGTGGCGGGTGTTTCCATGAAGATGGCTGTGGGGCATCAGAGAGAAGGAGTGGCGGGGAGATGACCCTGCCAGGAGCCCTCTGTCTCTGCCGTCCACGTCTGCAGGGTCTTGCTTAAACCAGGGTGTACAAATTGGGACTTATCACTTCAGGGTATAACATCTCAGGCCCACCCGAGCCCTCACCCCCATAAAAAAATCTAGGCTGGCTCACCCTAGGCTGAGACATGTCTGTGGTATGGCTCTCCTTAGTGGATGGGGAAAACTCAGGGGAAAATCACGTACAGCCTTCCATGGTCTGCGTGTGACGTGTAGGCGGACCCAGAGCATCCTTTGGACAAGGATGCAGACACATTGTGAAGGTACCCTGGCCTGAAAGCACAGGTCAGACAGGGTACCTTCAGGTGTGGTACCTACAACATGCTCACAGAACAAGGAAGCATCCAGCTAATTGAACTCTCAGAGGTCATCTGGTCCAACCCCTCCATTTTACGAATGGCAACACTGGGGCTCAGACACAGAAAGTGGCTTATCCAAGGTCAAAGCAGGTTCATGGGGCTCAAACCATAACACAGGGCTCGGGTTAAGGCTTTCTCCATTGCCTCACCTTGCCGACTGCCAGCCAGCCAGCCCCCACCACTGCTGACGTGGCTGGAGGACCATCAGAAGGTTGGGGTTCCCGGGACCCCGCCTCACCGCTTCGCTCTGTGTTTAGAAATGGGGGAGGCCGCAGCGGCACCTTCTGCGCCATCTGCAGTGTGTGTGAGATGATCCAGCAGCAAAACATCATCGACGTGTTCCACATCGTGAAGACGCTGCGTAACAACAAGTCCAACATGGTGGAGACGCTGGTGAGTGTCCCGAGCACTGTCCTCCGACGAGCACCCACCACCCGCGTCCTCTGCACACACTGCTCTCTGCTGCTTCCCTCCCTCCAGGCCTCACGACTCCTCTTGCCTGCAGAGCAGTCCAAATGTTAATCCCGGTGCACCCCGCTTTGTTTTACTTTCTACACTTCCTTTAGTAAAGTATCAATAATTTGGCTGAGGGGAAGGGCTTCTGGATTGGTAGAGTGTGATTATGTTTTCACTTCAGTCCAATCCTGTTCTAATGAACGTATGCTGATTTTTATCGTATGAAATACTGGGGTTAGGACGCGGGAGAAGGGGTGGAAAGAGGCTGGGCAGGCAGAGCCCCCGCTGATAAGACCCGGTGCAAGGATGGGGACAGACTGGACATAGGAACTGCAGTACGAGTCTTTGAACCTACCCTGAGGGTGGCCCTCCTCAGTCACTCTGCAGACCAGCAGCCTCAGCACCGAGCGAGAGCCAAGTAGAAACGCAGCTACTTGAGCCCCGCCCCAGATCTACTGAGCCGGAATCCACATGGATAATTCTGAGTTGACTCTTAGCACAGATGTAGATGAAGTTCTCTCCAAAATCTGTGCCTCTAAACGCATTTTCCCTTTCCTCTCCTCCCCTCCCTGTCTGCCTCTCCTCCTCTCAGGAACAGTATAAATTTGTATACGAGGTGGCACTGGAATATTTAAGCTCCTTTTAGCCTGATGGGAAGGGGAACCTGCCGGAGTCCCGAGGCCACTGCCCTCAAGCTCCCTTTCCTGTGGTGGCAGCGACTGGGCTCAGGGGCTGAGAGGCAGCGCCCTGCCCAGCACAAGGAGAAGACCGGAGGTCCCATGTTCCGTGGTGGGCTCCGCACCTTCCCGGGGGTCTCCTGCAGCTGTGGCAGATGCGGCTCTGAAAGGCCCAGGCTTCCCTGGCACACCCGACCAGCCACAGACACGGAGCCACACACCAGTGTCCCCATGACAAGGCCCCGGACTTCCTGGCTCCCTGACCTCTTGCTTTTGCTCTTTCCGGTGTGTGTGAACCTCACAGCCAGCAGACCGCACAGGTGCTGGGAGAGGCAAGCTCGGCAGCACCTCCCCGGCCCTGCGTCTCCTTGGGAGTGGAGGGGGTGTACCTCCTCCTCCACGCTGTCATGGAGACGATTGGGCTCTTGGGGTCCCTGCTCTACTACCCTCTGCAGTCTCCTTCAACGCCCTCTGGCACCAGACACCTGGACCCTGTGACCTGGGGACGTCCCGAGCGCACAGCGGAGACCCCCATCCTGTCATCTAACCTGCATGGAGCTTGGCCCACTAGCGTTCTGCACCCCTCCCCCAGCCTGGGCCTTGACCTTCTCCCCTCACTGGCCAGCCTGCTGGGTCCACAGCACTCTTGGATAAAGGTTTTCTTTGCTTGTTTGTGGTCAGTGGGAGGGGGTGGAACCACAGGAAACTTGGCTCCTCCTTGTCTTTGTGCAAAGGGACCGCCGCTCTAGGGCAGGGCTCTTACGGACCCTTGGGTGGCGGCTCCGTTGGGAGGGACGACAGGATAAGATTTGATTATTTTCCAAAGTATATATTAAAAGAAACTTTCTTTGGGGGAATGTAAAATCTAAGTCTCTTATGTTAAAAAAAAAAAAAAAAAAAGTGGGGAAGGAGGTTTGGTTGTAAAGCTGTGAGACAAGTCTCTCAGGCCTGTGATCAATGTCCTTGAAGGGCCCCACACCGGGACAGCACAGCCGCTGAGCAGGGCAGAGCCGGGCTGGGCTGAAGACAGCCCCTTGGTTTCTGGGGCGGATCAGGTGCCAGCTTTCAGCATCACCCTGGGTATCCAAATTCGAACTGCTTCCTAGGAAACCCAGCTGGGGTCTTGAAAGCGTCCAAGTGCACCAAGGTCTGCTTTGGTTCAAAATAGGCCAAGGGGCTCTTGCCTGGGAAACTGGGGTCTTGCCCGAAGTATGGGTGGCAGGGAACCAGCATTTACTGCATGTCGGGTGTGACACCCTCCGAGTGGCTTCTTACTCAACCTTAGGACCCACGCGGGAGAGCCCAGAACCTTCCATTATCTCTACATTACACCTGCAGAAACTGAGGCATCTTCCTCCGTGATGAGGTTCTGGGTTCCAAAAAGGTAGATAATGGCGATAAGACTTAATTTTTCCCTGGTTCCTTCATCCTTTCTCAGCCAAGCAATTATTTTATGGAGGGAAAATAAGGCCAGAAACTTCTGAGCAGAGAACTCCACAAATGGAAATGCAGTTCATCCTTTCTGAGGCCAGTTCTTCTGGGAGGCCCAGGGTTTCAGATGAATTTTAGTACCTCATTCCCGGTTCCCCAGGAGAGCTGGTCTCATCTAATAATTTCTTAGCCAGTGGGAACCATGCCCTGTCCCCTCAGGCGATGAGGTCTGCCAAGTGGCCTCTTACAGGCTCTTTGGCTCCTTATCCGACAGCCTCAGGGTGGCCTGGGATGGGGGCAGCTCCAACTTGAAGCTGGTCCGGCGCCAGACAGGGCCCGAGGAGCACAGAACTCAGTAGGCACAGTGTCCTCCCTTACTGTGCACTGGGGAAAGGGAACCGCAGTGCCCCATAAGAATGTTACAGTAGCGGAGGAACAAGGGACACTCCGCCTAGGGCTTCCTAGAGCACATGACATCTCCGCCCAGAAAAAAGGAAGAAAAGGAAATTCAGGCCAAGGGAGCAGCCTGGACAGTGGCCAGGAGGTGTGAAAAACCCCGGGGGCAGGTGCAGGGGCAGTATGGGGGGAGGTCCATGCACCTGGAAGACAGGCCAGGCGCCAGGGCCTGGGAGACAAATGCCTTGCCGACAGTGCCAGGCCAGCTTTGCTTGGGCCACGGGGAGCTTTGGAGGGATGCACTCAGCTTGGTGTTTGGAGAAGGTCCCTCTGGGGCTGGGGCGCCGCCTCTCTCCCCTTCATCAGACACTGTGATAACATTCCCCTCAGCGTGTACCCTTTAATATCACAGCTATTTGTCTGTCTGCTCATTATTTTGTTGCTGGAACAAAATGCGCAGTGCATCATGAGGTTCTGCTTCTGTGAGAGACTCAGGGTCTCTGCGCTGCCACAGAGCAGGGTGACTGAGCCGGAGCCCACGAGAGGGGACATGAAAGGGGACCGCAGAAGCTGCTCCCATCAGCATGGGCTCGGAGCTGTCTGGAAGTCCAGGGACACCAGACTTGATCAAGGAAGGGCTGTCGCTTTGGAGGTTCAAAAGGAAGCATCTCAAAGTAAAAGGAGGCAAAAGAGCCCCATGACAAACTCACTCCTCTCCTTTCATGCGCCCCTTCCCTGGAGAGGCGGAGCCAGTCCCCAGACTCAGCCCCCACTGGTCCCACTGGCTCCCCCACACCCATCCACGGCTCCAGTGGCATTCCCCCGGCCTTCAAAGAGCCTACGGCAGAGCAAGTCATCCTGTTATCTGCTCTTTTCTCAGATCTGGGTTCCTCCGTACGGAACGAGGGGGTGAGGCTACCTAACACAAATCCTGGGGTTTACTCTGCTGGGGAAGGGGTAAAATGGCTGGCAGATAAAAAATGACAGTGGCCTTTATCCTTTCAAATTGTAGGAATTTAAAATGTGACTTCAGGAAGAAGGGAAATTATTAGAAATTTGGGCCATGGTGGGGTAACCCAAGGGCCAGTAATGGTTCTCGCAGCTTGTCTCCTCATTTCCTCACAACACAACCACCTTCCAAGACACCAGGGCAGTGAACAGGTCTCAGGCCAGTTAACAAGCAAGAAACTAAGGCTCATGGGGCAGGGGGCGGGGAGATGTCCTCCCTGAGATTGCACACGGCAAGTACACAGCAGGGCTCGGATGAGATGGGGCACTGGTGCGCAAGAACCTGAACTTGATCAAACACCACCTCCCCCAAGATATCTTCCCATCCCCCTTCCCATCCTCCCCCCTGCAGAGGAAAATAGTACAAATGCTCTCTGGGTCTCCCAGCTGGACTAGCCCCATGTCTTTGGAGGGCCAAAGAGGGTGCCCTCACCTAGCACAAAGCCTCATGGTTCTCAGGTTCTAGTTCAGGACCCTGTTTGGAGAAGAGGCAGGGTATTAATGAGACGCCAGGGCCCTCCCCACCAGCATGTGCTTATGACGTTGATAGCTTCAGGATGTGTCTTCGAGGTGCCCCAACCCTGTGTCCTCTCGCTCTTTCATGAAGCCCAGGGGCCTTGGCACCTCTAGAGGCCCGAGCGTGCCTCCTTTTTGGGGAACAGCAGGAATCGGCTGGCTTGTACGCTGGCCCTCTCTGGGTGAGACCCGAGCAATGGCCTACCAGGTGTCAGCCATCACGTGGAACCAGCAGGCCCTGTGCTGGGGACCTTCACAAGTGAGCTCACTGAATTCTTTCCACATTTCTAAGAAGCATTTGTGATTGTCACCAGAGGAGAAAAGTCATTTGCCCACAGTCCCACAGCTAGTACAGGGAGAGCCAGGGTATAAATTGGTTCTTATTTTCCTGTCATTCTGTCAGATTTTCCCATACCCGCAGAGACTAGAGTGAAACACGTAGCCTGATGGATCTTGTAAAGCCTAAAGCAGACCAGGGTAAACAAACTTCCCCATAGTTCCATGTTTTCACTTGAACAGTATTTGCATTCCACTCTAATTTAGCCTGATTTAATATGACTGGGTAATTATTTTTTAATATTTACACACACCCCATCCCTGATGTGGCTTTGACCCCCTCAGCTCACTATGCTGAGCCCTAGGGGGTTATATCCCAGTTTGAGGTGCACAACACCTGGCCAGTCTGCTTCCTCCTGAGACCAATTCCAAGCCCACGTTCAAGTCCAGCGCACCTTCCCCTCAGCAGATCCTCTAGTGTGGGGGTACCCTGATCTTGCCAATCATGGGTTGATCTCAATTCGAGTCTCCTCCAGTTGGATGCTGAAAAGAGCCCACTGATGCATACCAGAATGATGAGGACATACCCTCTGGTGTGGCGAAAGATGAGCCCATAAATCCCCAAATGGGAAAGGAGAAGATGGACAAACCCTACTCAGCAGATTCCTAAATGCTGGGACTTCTAGAAGGTAGTGCCCTTTGTCCAGGTAGAGTCGAGCGTGGTTGCTATTGTGGACAGCTCTGAGGACACTGCACATGAGCGTCTGGGGTCAAAAAGGTGTCTCACTTTTCTTGAACCACACATGTTTCCTGGGTTCCTGTGATGCCCTGAGCCCTCCCTGGAGGGGCCACTACCAGGAAGCACAGGTTACTATGGGACAGTTCATCCACTTCTTGACCATAGCATGTTGGGTCAACCAGTTACTGGGAAAAGATGTGAAAAGAAGAGCCTTGACCAAGTAGGAGAGATTTGGAAAGCTTCAGACAGAAAAACAGGAAGGCAAGGCCAAGAAGTTGGGACCCAGAAGGAATATTCAGAATCAAGGGCTCATAGGGACAAAGTGGTCACTTCTCTGACATAGCAGGACAGGGGGATGGGGAAGGACTGGTCAGAACCACCTGGAGCAAGGATGTTGCCTTACAATAAGTCTCAGTGTCTTAGAGCAAAGATGATCATTTTCCTTCTGACCAATCATGTTTATGCATCATTCATTCCCCATTGCTAAGCTAGCTCATGCTGTGTGTCCTCCCCAGGACCTACCTTTGCCCAGCTCTGGGTGAGTGCCTACTATGTGCAAAGAGGTGTCAGTCTAGCCCGGCTGCTGCAGACAGTGGACATGAGGCCCTGGGGCAGCAGCCCAGCACTTACAATGTCATCTCCAACAGTAACTGCCCAGCCCAGATCCACAGACACTGAAGGAGAGTGAGAAGTCTGCACCCCACTACCTTAGAACAGAATGAGGAGAGCCACACCCCCTTAGCCTGCATCTGGCCACTCCTGGGCTGGACAGACAGGCCACCAGCAAGCATGCAGATGAGTCAGAAGTAGTGTCATGGAAAACACAGGAGATTCCCAGGTAAAATGAGAGGGGTGTTAATCCTCAGCCATGAGGCCAATGGATTGTACTGAGCCAACATCCTTAGGGACAAATGGGCAACCCAAGCAGTGGGGCAGTTCAGAAGACGAGATATGAAGGTCATTTCTTCTCAAACCCCAGACTTGCCTTCCTCATCATCTGACTAGCCTATGCTCCTCAACCCACAATGCCAGCTCCAAATCACAGCCAAGTAAAAGAGGGAACTAGGGAAAGTAAACCCAGGGAGGGGACCAGCCAAGATTCAGCCTTTTCCTGATTCCCATTCAAGGGTTCCACGTGGAAGGTTTTTCGTGTTCACTCGTCTAGAAGTGACAGAATGCAGGGCCTTGCCTTCACCTACCAGACACCTGCCTTAAGGTCATATATCCTGTTTGAACAGCAGGGAGAGAAGTCAGTGGCAGAGAACAGAGGGGGCTCGTTTCCTCTGACACAAATTTCAGGGTCATGGACACAACCCTCAAGCACAGCAGAGATGCCTAAGTCTCATTTGTGTGCACAAGCAGACTTGCAGTTTATCAATAACCAGTGGTAGACTTCGGCAGGGCATTGGCTGGCTGTGTGACCATCCTGTAGAGACCAAGACCATCTCCTACATTCCTCCCACCTACCTCCAGAAGAGGCAGGAAGAGGTCACCAGAA